TATTTCAACAAAAGCACATTTAGCTATTTAGACTATTAATTGGTAATCAAACAATTTTGAATAAAAGTATCAATTTATTTAAGTTTTCTGATTGTATATGAATAATTAAAACGTGATATTTACTTACAGCATGCAACTTATTTAACAATGAACAAAGAAAAGCTAGCATATTTTCCAGCAGTTTCGTCATTTATTACAAGAGATTAATGACAAAGTATAAAATAAAAACATCATTTCTAATCAAAATTCACAACAAAAGTAAACTAGGAAAATATGTAATTTAAGCTATTCAACATAATATCTTACAAACCCAATATCACAAACTGTCCAGGTCATTTGTACTTTATTTCATCTGAAGGAAGCTTCTCTTATATGATTTCCTTTAATGAAATTTCTGAGGCTCTAGCAATAATCGGATATCATGTGGGCATTCCATCGGCCTTGGTATTGCTCCTTCATAGTCTTGATGACTTGGAGGAAACAATTCTCCCTGTTGTTCGCTTACATCACCAAGGTTTTCAAGAAATATGTCTAAATGGCTAAATATAGGTACCTTCGTGAAAATCGATAGCATGACAAGAACGGCCTGAAACGTGATGAAAAAATCTTAAATGTATATTTCAATATTAAGAAGAAATACCAAAGTATTTTTTGATTATTTTTGAATTTTTTTACTCATTCTTAGCATGTCCGAAATTTTAGTTAAAAATGTTGTTTTTTTTGTCAGCGAAATTACTAAAAAACTCATGTCAGACATTTTTTAAAAAATTTTTAAACTAAGGTAAATTCCTCGTTTAAAACTCGTCCAAAAATCAATTATACGTTTTTCAAAATTTATTTGAAGAAAATTAGAAAATTTAAAGTTTATTTAATATATTTTTGAAAGAAACTTTTACATATTTTCTTCGCAGAAAAATGTTGTTTAAACTAAAAGGGAACCGATCTTAACGTCGTTGGCGATTGACAAGTGATGATTGAGGATATTCATCACGTATTGACAGCTAACGTGAGATTCATGTTATCATACGGAAGGACACAATTGATATTTTTACGTGAACAAGCTTGTGTAGTAACTCGTAATTACTAAAGTAAAAAAAAAAACAAACTTTCAGGATTCCAATTTTTTTAAATTTTGTTTTTTAGTATGTAGCTTTCACCATAAGTTTGTTGATACTATTTGGAAAAATTATAAATACTATAAAAAAAATTAAAATACCAGTGCTGCACAGCTGTTTGAGGACCCCTATACCCCCCCCCAACCAACTTAAATAAAATCAATTCAGATCTGCTATGATAAAAAAAAGAAAAAAAAAAGCAGCGAAAAGGAAATTTAAACCAAATTGACTTTGACATGTCTGGGTCAAAGGTCAGCCAGCCAGCGATAGTACAAGATCTCACCAGCTTGTAAATCCCACCACTTACAAGATAAGAGCAAAGAGGTAAAAAAAGGGGGCAATATTTGTAATAAAGGCTTGATAAGGATTATTTTTTTTTCAAATCTATGTTTGAACAATGGCTTGATGCGTTTTGTTTTGTTTTTAACACCTCGTGACCCGGGTGATGACAACAACACATAGCAGACGACATTGTCTTAAATGTTTTTTATTTTTATTTTTTATTTTTTAATAAAAACGGAAAATAAAATACTCCACACGTGTTTCGCACGGACAATTTGCAAAAATAAAGCCGTAAACAGCGGAGAACAACCCTTAAATACTAGACAGAAACTCAATCTACGTGACGTTTTTTATTGCATTCATGATATTTCTGGTCTTCCATAGATTAGAATTACAGTCGTTTTTATGGACACAAATTATATTTTTTATATACTGGTGTTCGTTAGTTTGTAAGAAATTTTGGGAATTATAATCTGAAATTATAGATCTACTTAATAACAAATTGGTTAAATTGTACAAACTTTTCATTAATTTTAGAAGAATTAACATTTAATGTAAAAATAATGAAATATTTTTAAAAACTACAAATAGTTGTTTTAAAAATTCATTTTTCATCGAAAAATATTTTTGCTTTCAGACAATATTATCAATATTCATTAAAACAAATAAAAGCAATTAAAAGCATTTGAAATTAAATAATATCTTTGTTTTATCGAGTTTTGCATGATACAATTCAGAGATGATTTAAAATAAAAAAAAACGATTTGATTTCCTCAAAGCCTTGTGCTTTTAACTAATATAATCACTAATTTATCCAAAATTGAAATTATAGAGTTTTCGTAAAATTAGTGTGTGTGTGTGTGTGTGTGTGTGTGTGTGTAATAAATATAAAAAAAGAAATTTTGCGATGATTTTAAAAAAGGAAAACAGATTCATAATAATTTCCATCATTTGTGAATAGTTTCTGAAAGTTTCATTAAAATCCGACAATTATTTTTATTTTTGCAAGATTTTCAAAATTAATGTCTGTCATACAGAAAAAGAACGGCGCTGAAATTTTATGTTATTTTACGTAGTTCCGCTGGACACAAAGAGAAACAAGTTTTTTTTTTAATAAAAATTTAGAATATTCTAAAAAGAAGGAAATTTTTTAAAAAATAATTAAGAAATACTTAGTTCTTCCCTCTTAATAATAGCATAAACATTTAGGCGATAAAATTTTGTTTTCGTCAAGTTTGGCGTCTTTTATATTATGCTATGCTCATTTTTTAGCAATTTCACGAAGGTACCTTGCTAAACAGGTAGTAGATTTTGACACTCATTCTTGTTCCAAGAGTCGGAAGTTTTTAACATCATTTCGACTAGTTCCTGGTAGTTACCCACTGTCAGCCCAGGAAGCCTTTCACCAGTGTAACAAGAGAAGACCACGCAGCAGCCTCAATCTCATTCATGCGAGAGACAAATTTTCATCGTTAATCAGTTTTCTTATTTGGGTCTCATCCAAAATTCCTGCCTTCAGTTCAGGCCAGGAAATTCAGAGCAGATATAACGGAAGCATGTGCCATCTTGTTCTAATACCTTGACAAATTGTTGCCCAACTTGATATGTAGTGGGTACAGGATGATACGATTCCGGTTAACCAGCGATTCATTTATGGCATTTTTCGTCCCAACAAAAGTTCTTCAGGAATAGGCCAATCCTTCTATTCCTAGTGCGGATCGTTAACTCTGCTGTCCCATGGGCATAGGAAACATAGGAAAATGGTTAAACCACATTGCTGTCTTAATAAAAAGTTAACCTTATCTACTTATGTTCCCCAAAACACAGTTTTTGTAGAACAAACTTTACACTCGTGTAGTGCTCCTTCCATATCCAAATGGGATTCATGCAAACTTGCCATCATTTTGTAATAACACACACTTCAAACTTCATTTAGAGCTGTCAGTAAATAAACGCCACTTAGCTGGATTGTATTTAGGCAGTCATATTGTTAAAATATGGCCTTAGATGTTGTTAAAACTTGTTCGTTATTTTAGTGAAAAAGATGACTGTGTTAGTCATCTTTTTCACTAAAATAACGAACAAGTTCCTCATCTCTGTTACGATAAAATGTTAGCTTCAGAGTCAAGAACATAATGATCACTAAGACAGGAAGCCAAAATCTTTTGACAAAGCTAAATCTGTAACCAAGTCAATCAGCTTTCTTGTGAAAAACTTCACTTTTGCAGCCTGGAAATCTTTCAAATACGAATGTGAAATACTACTACAGCTTTTGTGGCTGTTGTCGGAAGCTTTACCCATTGCTTCTGCAATATTTATATTGTTATCATCTTGATCAAGATCAGTCAAGGAATTAAATACTGGAATGGAAACACCACTTCCATGTGGAATTAGCCGTCTTGCAGAATCAATATCAGGATTCTTCTTGTGACGGTTCCATCCTGTTTACCGTACAGAAGTAGCAATCGTCATGATGATTTTGAGGTTCTCACACCTACCAATGGTATCCCAAACTTGACTTTACCTTGGGTCCACAAGCGAAAGGTTTCAGTACAATTCTTACAAACTTTCTGAGGAGCTCATGACTTATCTTGATCCCTAATCTTCATTCCAAAGTAAACTTGATATTATCTTCTGATGAAATATCGAGTATTGAAACTATGTTCCTTTACTGAATATTCACCACAGATGTAACAGAAGGCTCATTTCGGCAAAGTTTACGCTTAGAATTCATGATTAAAGTTTTGTATACTTGAAAGATTGAGACATTAGATGCTAACCCCCAGGAGAATAATTCACTGCACCTTTTTGGTCTAACGTTTTCCACTGATATGAAAAGGAATGATTATATTGGATCAACTGCTATGTCTGCTCTCTGGAATATCAATTCAACATGTGTAAGACAATTCTTTCTCGTCAAAATCTTTTTTGCACATTTATAACTTTTCTATTCATCCGTTTATCGAATGTTGCTACCACATCTGCTCTGGAGCTTCGGCTATGATGTCTACAGATCCTTGTTAGACTCCAAAAAAGGGTCGGCGACGTTATCGGTCTTGGCCTGACATCTCGGCTTCAGTCACTTTCCCACTGTAACGTAGCTTCTCTTTGCCTCTTCTATAAATATTTTCATGGTAATTATTCTGATGAGTTTTCCTTGATCGTATCTCGAATTTACGAATTTAATCGCAGTGCTAGATTGGCAGTTAGGTTTCATAATTTCACTGTTCACTTGATTCTACACTAATAGTTTCTATTCCTGAACTTATAGCTTGTGGGTCCATCTGGTTTATTGCTTTCCTCTCAACTACGACCATCAAAAATTTAAAGCCAATATTATTCATCATATTTTGTCTTTTTGAATCCAGTTCTTTCAATATCCTTTCTCCTCATTAAGGTTTTCTCAAATTCTTTCACTCTTAGTAAACATTTGCGTCTTAATGACTTTATCTACTTGCTTGAATATAAATGGTTAAAATAATTATTCTTTCAGGTATAACCATTTCGTCTTATTCAATTATATAGACCACAGATTGTTTCATCATATGTAGAAACATCTTCTTCTAAGATGTCGCTTTTCACATATCGTGGACTTCAAGCTATATGAAACCTAATCTATCTATCTATCTATCTATCTATCTATCTATCTATCTATCTATCTATCTATCTCACCCTCTTTATCTATCTCACCCTCTTTATCTATCTATCTATCTATCTATCTATCTATCTATCTATCTCACCCTCTTTATCTATCTCACCCTCTTTATCTATCTATCTATCTATCTATCTATCTATCTATCTATCTATCTATCTATCTCACCCTCTTTATCTATCTCACCCTCTTTATCTATCTATCTATCTATCTATCTATCTATCTATGATATGCGTTATCTTAGCAATGAAAGAAAAAAGAAACTGACTCCAACCAAAGTGCTTGTATTAGAATCCATGTGTATGTCAGAATTATAATAGTTGATTTTTGCATTAATGGTCTCAGAAAAGGCATGACTCTAATTTTCCCTCTGTTGTGCTCAATACTTACAAAGCTTTTGTTACTGGCAGTAGAATTTGGTTTAACTACCTTCGCTACGCATTGTGTAATGCAACCTAGCCACTTGAAGAACAAAAAAGGCAACATGACGCTCTGCAACGTCTGATTGCGACTAAACAATCACCCCCTATATATATATATATATATATATATATATATATATATATATATATATAGTAGACAGTGATGTCAACACCCAGCGGCGATAGTCTGTTTAATGCTTAAACGCAATCGTTAAACCTGATGATTGTGCATAAACATGAAAGAGACTGTCGGCGTTTCAATACCCATTTTATATTTACATAGGCTCTATCCCTGAGACTGAACAATTTAACCCATAAATATAGCATAACGTAAGGCGTTTTTTATCACACACACACACACACACACACACACACACACACACACACACACACACATATATATATATATATATATATATATATATATATATATATTGTGTGTATTTAGGCAACATATTTTCATTTATACACGTTTCATTAAATAATATAGACAAGTGTTGTCTATTTATTTTTTATGTAAAAATTTTTCGTATGTTATCAAACTTATCAGAAGAATATATATATATATATATATATATATATATATATATATATATATATATATATATATGCTCAATACAGAGTAGGGCTAAATATTATTTATTTTAGGATATTAAAAGATGTTAAAAATCGTTACATAATGACAAATATGTTTCGACACAATAAATGTGTCTCTTCTGACGATGTTAAACTACTGGCAAGAGAAAAAATAATTTAATTTCAAAAGCAGAATATTTTAAATAATAGGCTTGTGCGTTTTGCCGTGATTAACCAATCGAATGTTACCTACGCTAAATTCAAATTCACCGGATTTTTTTAAAATATAGGTCATGCCACGAAGTTGTCTGCATAAAACCTAGACATTTTTCTTATGGGCAAATACATGTTGCTACATAATTTTGTAAGAAGTATTGAAGTCTGACGTTCAACTTTCCTAAGAAGTAAAAATGAAAGACGTGGGGAGGTAATTTAACATGATGCTAACTCGTTCAGCTTCTTACACAACATTTTTGTAATTGATAAGTAAAAGCCCCTTTAAGAAACTGGTAAAAAACTCAACCGTTGGTAAAAATCCCCAAAAATACCCCCCCCCAAAAAAAACAAAAGCAAAAACAAAACCGGATCAAAAATACAGAAGTATTTTGGCAAATTAATATACAACCGTTAAATAAAAATTGCATCCCTATAAGATGTTAACAATACCAACTAATCAATGTAAGTTGTCAAACACCTGTCCATCAATATAAAATATTAATAATACTAACCAAACATCAAACAAATATATATATATATATATATATATATATATATATATATATATATATATATATAGATATATATATAGAGAGAGAGAGAGAGAGAGAGAGAGAGAGATTGTTACCTGGGTTTGAACAATAATTTCTGATACCAGTGGAAAATAACAACCTTTCCCAACCATGAGATAGTCCCTAAGATTGTGTTATTATTATTATTATTTACAATTCTCCTTCATTGGATTGAGTAAGTAGGGCGTGGGCAAAAGATAAGTATATAAACATATATTCAAGTTAATGTCTATATGAGCATGTAAGTGTGTAGTCTATTCGTGAATCTCTTGTCTTTTATGTTGTTTCTGTCAACAAGTGTGACTGACCCGACGACCTTTCTGATCTCACGAGCCTGAAATGACAGGACCCTAATTATTGCGAAGAGGAGAATAAGTTCACTTATCGAGTAAAAAAGAAAAAAATAAATTGACAAAAAAGATTATACATAAATCAAAAATAAATACAATTTTTATAAACAGGATACCCCCCACCCCCCAAAAAAAACATCGTTCCTCTGAAATCAAAATACGAGAAGAAATATATCAATATAATATATCGACACTATATTATAATATGAAGAGGTTATGGGATAATGATATATAAATTTTTATATATCAAGAACAATTTGAGAGGTGGGGGAGATATATGACAAAATGGAAAAAGTTTTCGTGTGACACGTTTCGTCGTTTAGGACTTCATCAGATTTAGTTTGTTAGAGAGAGAGATTTTGTTGTAAACTAAATGCGAGAGAATTAGAGATATCGGTTCATTGGGTAGTTTCACGCACACCTATTTAGAGAAATATATATTCAGCAGGGATGACGTATGCGTGATGTAAAAGGTAAAAGTGCAGTGTAGCTGTGGCAACGGTGTGTGAAATACGGACAGGATTTAACACTAGCTGACCGCGGAATGTTTGTATGGGTTAGAAAAGTGGAGCATTCTCTCCCCGAAGCAACAGCTACCCTAGATTTTTCTTGAAGAAACAGCAGCAAAAGTTAACCAGGAATAGGAATTACGGAAAGATATCAGTGACACGTGAGAAATGTAGGCGTCCGAAAATGATGTAAAAACGGAACTGCTAGCAGCTGGTAAAAATGGTAAGCACCAAATGAGAGAGGGCATTATTATACTATATTATTTGTAGAAATAAAATAGGTTAATATTATCTTTGATATTACACAGGATTATTATAATAATTATTATTATTCAATCCCTTTGATTTAATTGAAAAAAACTGAAGCAAGTGTTAACCAGGAATAGGTTCTTTGTTTGGTGTGTACTCATTTCTTTCCGGGTCCTGACCAGAGATCTAAGGTCAGAAATGGCATCATGACATTTTCCACTGAGCAATTAAAAGAACAAAACAAAACATATTTTATATAGATAAAGCCCTTCGTAAGGTGTGGGCTTTATTTGTGAGTACAATTTTATTATATTTCCTTAAGGCACAGGCGACCAGGAATCCATTCAGTGAGTCTATTGGAATCTTTTCCACTCAACCCGAGGGCTCCAACTACGACAGGGATTACTGATGTTCTCATGTGCCACATTTTTGAGATTTCGATTTCAAAAATTTTGATAGCTTTTTGAAGATCTTCAAATATACATTGCAATAAGCAGGGACTGCCATGTCAATAAGGAGGCAGTTTTTTTTTTATTGTGGTCTCTAATCACGATCCAGGCCGGTTAGTTTGATTGTTCTGTTTGTGTGTATTGTGTAGTCCCATAAAATTGTTACAGGTCCTATCTCCGTAACCGGGTTTGAGTGGTGTTTATTATTATTATTTATTTATTTATTGCAGTTTCCATATAGAGGCACAATCAGTATATTGTACCGTTTCCTTATAAGGAAACATTCGGCATTAATTTTCTGAGAAGTCTTACTTTCAGATGAAATTTATAAAATCTTTCTCTTAAAACAATTTTCCAGGAAAATAAGTCAATCAAATCTAGAAGCTTTTGTCACTCTCTCCAGTATTGACGGGGGGTTCTTTCCTAACCATTTCTTTGTAGCAGTGTGGAACGTCAACATCTTATGTCATATTCTCTTCGAATTACATGTTCTATCCATTTTAGTTGTTGCGCTTGTTGAAAGTCTTTATGTAATGTGGTTCCTGTCACGTGGTACAGTTCTTCGTTTGTGATTCTCTAGCGCCAATCCAAGAGGTTCGAAGAAGGATAGCCTACGCTAATACCCACAGGCTTCATTCGTACGAAACTATTTTAAATCATTGATCCAAGCAAATGGTTGTCAGTAGAAACATTATTTAATGTTCTGTTTATATAAGTTAGAGATAATCGAGGCTTTTGATTTAAATTAGAATTTCAATCAGAATTCAAATCAATATCTGACTTCTGATTAACTATGTAATAATGCATATAACGGAATAATTTCAAATCATTTTTGTCCTGCAGGCCTATCGTCTTTAAGAAGAAACAAATTCAAGCTTACACCATAAGTTAAAAATTTTTTACGCAAAATTAACTTCCTTTAATGAAAATAGGAATTGTGTAAAATAAATTTGGTTTTATAATCAAGTCCTCTGACGAATGGTCACGAGGATGAGCTGATTATTCCAAAAAGAAGAGAGTAACGTTTCTGCTATGGCTTTTGATAATTTGTGAGAATCGCTACATGTACCAGGGAATATCAGCTGAGCGATGTTTATATTTTCTAAAGAACTAACTTGAAAAATGACAAATAAATACCTTTTTCCTACCGAGCAACAAAGTCATAAAAATTTTTCGACTTTGTACAAACCAATGGTTTCACAGTCCAAATATCTATAGGGTCATCCCATAAGTTCTGTCCGAATTTTGAATAAAGAAAACAAGTGACCAAATGTTACATTTAATTACATATTTAATCAACAATGTATTTTCCCTGATTATCTATGACTTCCTTCCATCTATTAACAAGCTTACTAATTCCATTAATGTAAAATTCTTTTGGCTTTGATTCGAAGAACTCACAAATGTCAGTTTTAACCTCTTCCTGTGTTACAAAAGCTGTTTCTTCCAAATGATTCTGTAAGCTACGAAACGAATGGTAGTCTGAAAGAGCAAGATCGAAAGAATAAGGTGGATGAGGAATTTTCTCCCAACCAAGTTCTTCGATCTTTTGTGACGTGATTCTTGCTGTGTGGGGTCGCGCATTGTCCTGATGAAACATCATCCCTTTTCGATTCACTAGAGCAGGTCTTTTTTTCCTCAAAGCTGGGTTCAAACGCTCTAATTGCTGACAGTATATTTGAGCATTAATTGTTGCATTAGGTGGCAAGAATTCAAAGTGGATTATTCCTTGGCGATCCAACCAAATTGAAAGAAAAAACTTTTTCCCATGAAGTTCCCTTCTCGGCTGTGGCTGGGGTCAATCCCCTTTACCAAACCACAGTCTACGACGCTTAACATTTCGATAAAAGATCCATTTTTCGTCGCCAGTCACAAGTCTATCCAAAAAAGGTGAAACAAATTGGCGAGAATGGAGAGAAGAGCAGATGACAACTCGGGATTTGAGGTTGTTTTCAGACAATTCATGAGGCGCCCATTTTCCAAGTTTAGGAACTTTTCTAAGTTGTTGAAGATTGATGAACTGTTGTATGGTTTGAAGTGAGAACCACTGCCAATTCCTCAAATGATAAAACAGGATTTTCTTCAAGGGCTGCTTCAAGAAGCTTTTCATCAAACTCAACTGGACGTCTGGTTCGATCTTCATTTTCAAGGGTGAAATCTCCACCTCTGAATTTTGCAAACCATCTTCTGCAAGTTCTTTCATTCACACATTCCTCTCCATAAACTGAGTGAATGTTTCTAGCCGCTTCGGCTGCTGAGTTTCCTTTCTTGAACTCATAAAGCATTATGTGCCTCAAATGATTCTTGGGTACTTCCATGTTAGCAGGGTTTTAATCAAACACAATTTAATTTTATAGTTCTCTGAAATACAATTTGATCAGTTTAAATGTATCTAAACATAAAAATAATGGTCAGCTCCATTAGACATTATAAAATACTCTTTAAATTTCGTTCATTTTAACAAAAAGTTAAAATTCGAACAGAACTTATGGGATGATCTGATATTTGTATCTATCTATCTATCTATCTATCTATCTATCTATCTCAAATTAAATAAGACAAAGAATATTTTTTTTTGGTGTGTGTGTGTGTGTGTGTGTGTGTGTGTGTGTGTGTGTGTGTGTGTGTAGAAAAGCCCCTGATTTATTTGTTTTATAATTTGGCTCAAATTGTTTGCATAATTCCCAGTCTGTTTCCATTCTGCCTCTCTTCTTTCTGCTTTTTGATTTTTGGAATTCATTTTTCGAGATCTTGATGCATTTGCGAACTATGTACTTTAGAGTAGCAAATTTTTCTGGCTTTCTCTCAAATAATTTGGTCCCATTTTTAGTTTGGATAAATTTTTATTTTATTTGAATAAAGAAAAAAAAAGGCATTATTAAATCTTGGAAAAATCTCTCTACTTTTAAATAGGTAAGCTGACTCTCTCAGAAGCAAACACAGGCATAAATAAATAGTACGCTATGTATTACATCAAAAGTGAAATCCTATTTCATATTATAAAGGTTTTTTTTTTTAGGCCGGTGACTGTATGTCACCATGTTTTATGACACTGGCAGTTGTAGCCGGTCCCAAAACATTATTTATAATATGAAATACCTTATATATATATATATATATATATATATATATATATATATATATATATATATATATATATATATATATATATATATAGGGGAGAGAGAGAGTGAGAGAAACAGAGAGAGCGAGAGAAAGTGATAGACAGTGAAACAGAGAAAGAGAGAATGAGTAAGCCTATTCGCGGGAGGAATCGCCAATGACGTTAATCTTGTAACCCAACTGCCATTTTACTTGTCTGAAGCTGACTCAAACAGCGAAACGTTCATGTACAGACCTTATTCAATGACTGACATATATATATAAAAAGGCCATAGATATAAGACATTAATAATAATAATAAGTAAAATATATTTCTTAGCGGTTGAGATGTATCTTCTCAGTTATCAGATGTTCATCATCCATACAATCTATGTATGCTGGTTTTCTAGACGTTGCTTAGATGTAGCACAAAACTGAAAGTATGTAGCACCCAGTGAGGATTGAACTCACTATTGATGAAATGCCTCAATCATTTTATATATGTGCTTATAAATATGCAAATACACTGATAAGAAGGCTGATAGGGATATTCCGATTTACCAAGAAGAATGAATATGCAAATATTAATGCAGTTCTATTGATTGTATTTGACTTGCAACCTCTGTGTTTCTTTCATGGGTCTTTGTTTTTGATTCTCTTAGTTAATCGCTTGTTTCTCGCCGTTGGGCATCTGTTATTTCTTCTGAAATATGAGGAGGAAACATTTTCTTATTTATCTTCTTCTACGTGACATGTCCCTTCGATTCGTTGGCGATCATGACTCTCCACAATTTCCTCTCCTTTGTAGCTCTTAGTAAATGTTGTCTTATTGTTATTTCTCATACACCTTGTTCTATCACCCATTTACATAAGATCATTAGGCAGGAGTTATACATTGCTTTCTTATGTTCCTCTTGCCTTTGATATGTCCTGTGAGTGTCAAATTTTCCAAGCCCTCTTTTTCTTTTATCGTACCTAAAAATTAAAACTCTCTTTCAGATGTTAACTATAAATGTCCATTTTGTTTCTGTTTTCTCTAAAACTTCATCATTGCTCACATCTTTAATCTATGGAATTCTCAGCATCCTTCTGTAGAACCACATGTCTATAGCATGAAGTTTCTTATAAAAATAAGTAAATTCGGCTCTAGAATTTCAGGAATGTTACTTTTTGTTTATTTTCTGTCTTCATTTCACTTAACATTTAAGGTGTTTTTTTTTTGTTGCTTCTGCCAATTTTTGGTAGCAATTTCCTTTTTCCGTTTCTTCCAAACTCTTTTCAAAGGTAAAATAATGAGCCTTAAATGAAACGTGACCTTTAACAGAAGATTCAGTCCTGTTTTTATTTCTGTTTTTGCCAAACATCGTCGCCATTTTAAGGATATTTTTCTGAGTTTTTTTTTTATTAATATTTTAGACCGTATTATAGAAGGGTATTTAAAAAAAACTCACACACACACACACACACGCACGCACGCACACACACACACACATGTCTGATTAAATATATATATATCTTGGCCGGATGGTTTACCCTACCACTGGGCGGGCTGGGTTTGCTCCTCATATTGAATGCGCCTGGTGGTAAATAGGGTATCCACTTTACAAGCTACAGCTACTGGCCGCCTGAAGATTGCGCATGAAACTGGCAGTTGTGGCTTACTCGGAATTTTGGTATATATATATATATATATATATATATATATATATATATATATATATATAGAGAGAGAGAGAGAGAGAGAAAAGAGAGAGTGTGCTTTTTTTTACTAATATGGCAATTTTGAATTTTTTTATGTAAGAGTTTAATAGTTCAATAAGTAGAGTAATGTCTTAGTTTTTATCCCGAAAATTTGCACGTCGGGTCAGTTCTTTTAAAGCAAATATGTGGTGCAGTTTAATTTATATTACAATGAACCATTCATACAAAAAGAAAATTTATGAAGCTACTCACTTAAATTTTCAAAAATTCAACTTTAGCGTTGCGACTGCACGCTCCACAAGTTTGTATCCATTGTCAATAATACATTTTAAAAAACACAACATATTTCGATGTGCATCTATATTTTTTCATCTAGGATGATAACTAAATTTTACCAAAAACAAAAGTTTCCATGCCTGAGGATGACCGGAGGAACCGTCAAAAGTACTTACGTATTTAAGGAAGACCTAATACAGTTTATATTTAAAAAACAAAAACAAAACAAGGATCATAACATTCATCGAGTGATTAGTGGGTTAATGCATCTTTAAAATTTAGTTAGCGATGGGATTTCGCCATTTTATCACTGACTTTACTAATTTACTTTTTGTATGAATGATTCATTGTAATATATATATATATATATATATATATATATATATATATATATATATATATATATATGTACAATTGTGGGGTGCAGGAAGAATTATGTTATATTTCAAAAAAAAAAGTTGATCCAGTTTAATCAAAAGTAATCTTTCGAAATCGTACCAATTATTTGGGTTTCAACGCCAACCACCCACCATATGCCCCGTTCTCTCTGTCTATGCATCGATTTATTCCAATCTGTTTGTTTCTTTCTTTGTCAGTATGTTCGTTTCAATCTATCTATCTATCTATCTATCTATCTATCTATCTATCTATCTCACATTAAATAAGTAAAATAATTTTTTTTGTGTGTATGTGTGTGTGTGTAGAAAAGCCCTTGATTAATTTGTTTTTATAATTTGGCTCAAATTGTTTGCATAATTCCCAGTCTGTCTCCATTCTGCCTCTGTTCTTTCAGTTTTTTGATTTTTGGAATTTATTTTCCGAGATCTTGATGCATTTGCGAACTATGTACTTTAGAATGGCAAAATTTCTGGTTTTCTCTCAAATAATTTGGTCCCATTTTTAGTTTGGATTAATTTTTATTTTATTTGAAAAAAAGAAGGCATTATTAAATCTTAGAAAAATTCGCCTAGAAATTTTCTTACAACATGTCGTATGAGTTTTTCAACGCCAGCTTAGATTAAACTGGCACAAGGACACGGTAGTGAGCAATTAGTGAAGTTCGAACAGACAGCAGCAGCTATCTGGTTTGCTAATGTCACGTATTCAAAGTTTAGTATGGAGGAAAATCACAACAGTATTGAACCCAATGAGGATCGACTCAATTATACAAATCAGTAAATGTGCAATATGACCTCTGCTAACCATTGTATTGGCTCAAACATATTTATTCAGGTTAGTCTGGTACCAGGTTAGGAACTCAGAATCGAACTCACTGTAAAAACCAGTCGTTTTTCAAGACCGGTTTGTTAATTATCCCCGTCGCCCTGATGAGATTTCGTTATGTCGTCAGAAAATCTTCGAGAAGAAAGAAAGCCGAATGAAGGTCGAGGGAACCAGACGAAAATAAGAACGATCAAAATTGGACTAACTTGGGTCATAACCTATTTTGCCCTCAAGCAGTTTGGCAGATCATTCATCAAATGCTTTTGTTAAAATACCAGCTCTTTCCCTTTTCTTTATTTGTTCAGATCTAAACATGCCTAATAACGTACAAAAAAGAAAACTGGAATTTATTGTTTTGAAGTCAGAAATGACAATAATTTGTTGCCATTTATCGACTTCAGACTGACCTTTCATTTTTGTTCAGTGGACCATGTCCGCAATGCTTATCAAGGCTAAAGCTCATATGACTTGGTATCAGATATAAGTTTCCTTCCAACTGAATTCTCAGATAAAACCAATTCAAACAGCTTCGTTTTTTTATTTTATTTATGTTTATTTTATTTATTTATTTATTTATTTATTTATCTATGTACTATATTTTCCCGACTTGAAATCTGATAAAGTAAATTGATTCTATCGACACCATTTACATTGTTCGGAGTATCGTCCTCATCTTTGTTGCCATATTATTACAACGTTTCAGCCGTTGTACGCTCCGGCCTTCTTCAGGTGGTTGGAATGTCGAACTGAACCCTTTATTTCGCTCACTGGAGTAGACTGTTCTAGTTCTACGTGCCATGTATAATGGATGTCAGTTATCAGTTATCTCCTGTTAATATGGCAACAAAGATGAGGACGATAGTCCGAACAATGTAAATAGTGTACATAATACATCATCTCGGAATTATAGATTGATTCTGTCGGGATTATCGAGGCTCAAATATTATCTCAATTGTCCTGATATTCTAATCCCTAGTTATTCTTAACTTATAAACAGTTTTCACAAGATTTTTAGGCGGTTCATCAGCAAAGTATCCAGCAATAAAATCTTAACGAAAATGTATCCTACATATGACAGTGGCACCTTACTCCCATTCAAAGTGGATGCCTTGAAACCGCGCACTTATACAAGTGTCCACTTTATTTTTCTAAAAGTTTGTAAAGTCTTTATCGGATTACCATCAGCTGCATCATTGCACTCTCTTTAATCTCGTCCTCGGCGCTTCAATTTGATTTTATTAGTGAGCCAAAAATCTGAATTGTAAAAGAAGGCTGATTCTCCTGCAATATATCTCACTGACTTCTCACTATCAACTGAGAAACTATGGGAGAGTGTCAGTTGACTCATACGCAGTAAGGTCCCCTCTGGTTGGTTATTAACTTACATTAAGGCCACACAACTGGTTCTCAAATTACTAAAAAATGGCTGGGTTCGTTACTGAGAAACACCAAATAAATATTTTAATTATCAGATGAAATAATTTCAGCTATTATTTTATTTAATTATTCTGTTTTAACTTTCCGAAAGTTAAAGATGTGTAAAGTTTGAAGATATGCAGGCAGCCTAACGGATGTCGAGACCGAAAGTGAAATCGGTGTGCCAAGTTCAACTTTCAGCCGAGCCCTCTGTGTTCCCTTTCGTATAAAATATCCTCAGGAACCATTATACGGGTTGATCTAAGTCTTGTGAATTAAACTGAGTAATTTCAGAAGTCACAAATCATCATGGCCGAAGTTTGAGCATATTGGCCTTTCTTCACGATTTAATGATTACGCCATAAATTGGCTCTGCGGATGTTAAAAAATAGCACAAATATACCTCAGCAGGCGTTTGTAGCAGGCTTTAGCTATCCGGAAACGAGTAGCCAGACATATTACATGCTTTACCATCCGCGGTTTAATAAATCACAAGAAGCGCCAAAAACTTTAGTAGTCATAACTTATCTTAAGAAATAATTAATTTTTGAAATTATTTTATACTATAGTCACGTAGCTTAATGATGGAAGGCGTTTTCTTTACAGAACAGCTATTTACGCCTCAATATTAATCCAGCAATTCTTCATTAATCACATCGATGGAATATTATGATGATTTCAGATCAAACTTCGGTTATTGTGTCAGGCTTATCTTATTCCTCGAGTTACGGAGAGTTTTAGTTTGGTGAAAAATTAAATGAATTATTCGGTCGTTGTACCAGAAAACCGGCAAGCGCCATAACATACGAACCCCAAGAAGTAAGCGATGCAAGTCAGATTCTTGTCAAATTTTTTGTTTCTGATTCACGTTACTTGATCGTCGCAGAATTTAAAACAACTTCTTATTAAAAGCAATAAAAATCAGATAGAAAAAATGTAGTTATTCTTTTTCAATAATCACGATAATTCACCTAATAAATTCGGACAACTTATGATTATTATATCAATTATTATTTCGTTAACAAACAATAAAATAAGATGAAAGAAAGAAAATAAAAAAAAATGAATAATGTCATTAATTATAAATTATAAAATAGTGGTTCCCAACCGTTTTTTTTTGCCCAGAGCACCCTTTTCGCCATTAGTGAAAATGTCATTGCCCACCTTTCCAAGATTGTTCTACTCAAAAAGTACATTCCAAATAATATGCATATATTATTGAAAATCTTCATTCTTTTCCGTATTAGTACATATACCTTTACATAGATTATTTTTGTCGAGGGGTTTTAAAAAAATTAGTAGCAATAGAAAATGTATAATAATTTATTATAATTCATAACTAATTATTAAATAAATAAACTGAAGCACACCTCAACATCTGTCTATATTTTTGAGATAAGGTATTGTAACTATTTACATCGTTCGAACTGTTGTCCTCATCTTTATTGTCATATTCACTCTCCAAGTTTTGTTCCATCTGTAGGTATTGAACTCATAACTCTTTGGATCAAGTTCTTTTTGGATTACTCAACCAAGGCTTTTATCCACTAGGTTATGTTCCCGTTAGGATAAAAAAATGTTTGCTACTAAAAATAATTAACTGAAACCGAGATATCCCCCCTCAAAAAAAGGCATGGCATGTGGAATTAGAACAATCTACACCTATGGACTAAACAGAGGGTTCGGTTAGAAATTTCAACGTATATCACATGAAGAAGGCTGGAGTGTACAACGGCTGAATTTTCTTGAATATGGCAATAAAGATTAGGACAACAGTCGGAACGACGAAGCGCACTATTCAATAAACAAAATGATCAAATGAAGTCTCAGTCAGTGATGTGCAATGTGTGCTCAGGTGATCATGTATCTTTCGATACATGACTGACGAGGCAGACTTTTTTCCGCAGATTTCTTTCTGTGGTAGACCAGTTGCCATCCAAGACTATAGAACCCGGTCTGCTATTTACCTATAGCTGGGGGGAGAAGAAGAGGATTAATACCTTTCCCAAGGGTATTAGCACGTAAGTGAATGTAATGAATTCGACTGGAATTCGAAATCAGCTCTCCGATTCCTCAATCCGAGCCGCTATCCATTACTCCACCTAGTGCATTGTAACTCAGCCATATTGTAATTCAATAAAGAAAAAATTCAATAAAATATCAGAGTATTTAAATCGATTTTATTCTAATGAAGATTTCAAGTCAATAAGAAATTACAACCAAAGTAAAAGATCAATCCCGTTCTCATCTGAAATCCTAAAATCCCACCCTCGGTGTATTCCTCTCCTGATTCAGAACCCCTGTTATAGAAGTTACTCACTGATAGAATGGGGGCCATAATAGTAAAAAAGAAGATTCATTTTTTTCAGAATTAAAACTAGCATATATTTCTCAAAAGTTATATTTAAGTTTTACATTATTAATTATATAGTAGCCTTCCATAGTTACTTATTATTATTATTATTATTATTATTATTGAGTGAGAGAGGAGCGCCTCAGCAGAGTGACGGTGGATAGAAATATATGAAGCCCAATCTACCCGTCATGACAGCCAATCTGATCCATGGCATTAACAGTCGACCAGATTGTTCATCTGTCGAACTCTCTGTCTCTAACAGAGAGGAACCCGGACGAGGCTTTGCCGAAGGGTTCTAAGGGAATATTTTTGGCCGAGCCTACGCCCCCGTCAACCCACGGTAAACTCGGCCTTGTGCCACATACATCCATCGTGGGTGGGTGGGGAGCTGTTAAATATAACAGTCTGATCCAGGTACATCAATCACAGCCAAATATACGAGATGTGGTGACAGATTTTGATAAAAGCAACACATAACCTTGCAGGTAGGACTAATCTAAGTTAAAAAAATCCTCTCGATACGCGTCTATAACGTTCCCTTACTATTCCCGCCCATGAACAGGGATTTACAGCGCATTATTCCCTAGAAGACTTGCGTAACTGACAAATGACAAGAAAATATGTGGTACTGAACGCAATATTCACTGTAGTCCATCTCAATTCACCAAGAAAA